GCTGAAATTGCTAGATGGATCAGGGCAGAGAGCAATCTTCCCAGTGGGAAACAGTGGGAGTCCTAGCACTTGTAATCAGCCCAATATTATCAGCCTTTGGCATGAGGATGGGGGAGATGGGTGAGGGATGACCCACCTGAGTGTGCCAAGATCATTGCCATCACTTGCTTCAATGATTTAAGCCCATATTGTAGCTTGGTGTGAGCCTGCCCACCCCTGGCCCTGGCACACACAGGCAGCACACACTGATTCCTAGCAGCAAAATCCCTGCTGATAACTTGTCTCAAGCCCTTCACAGGTCTGTGTGTTGTGAGACCTGAGGTGGTGCAGCTCAAAGTGCTGTGTGACTAAGGGACAGGAAAGCAAAGTGAGTTCTATTTGTCACATCATTGCACTTCAGCAAGAGAGCTCAGTGCCATTTGACTCTGGTGTAGCTCACAGTGAAGTGAGTGCTAAAAAAATACCCAATAAAAAGCAGAGCTGGGGGGAAAAAAAATGAGGAGGTGTTCACAGAAATCATGGGCAAACACCATTATGGGTGGCCAAGAGACAAGCACAGGGTTGGGAGGTGTAGAAACACAGAATTGTAGGATGATTTGGCTTGGGAGGGATCTTAAAAGATCATGTAGTTCCAACCCTCCCTGCCATGGGCAGGAATGTCAACCTTGTGCATCCACATCTCAATTACTATGGTGCATTATTATTTATCTCCATTTTAATGAAAGAGAAACTCCCAAATCATGTGAACTCGATTGATGCCAACACATAAAAATTCAGTCCCTGCTCTGGGAAGAGTCCAAGAACTTGGGATGAATGTGAGCAAGAAGTTTTCTGCCTTTTTATGGCCTGAGAAATGATGGAAAGGAGTTTGGATCTGCTGATCTTAAAGGTCTCTTTTGACCTTGCTGACTCTGTGATTCTAGGGATGAAATGATCTGCACAGGATCACACAAGGAGTTGGTGCAGAGCAGGTAGAGGGATTAATCATTAAAATGGTGTCAGGGAGAACAAACTAACACTAAAACACTGCTAAAATGCTGTTTGGCACAAAATTAAGTATTGACCACTTTTCAGGCTCTCTCCTTCCTGTTTCTCTCTCCCCCCATCCTTGCTCCTAGCTCGGACGAGCTGTGAGCAGTCAGTGGTGTGAGTCCAAGCATCATCTTGTATCTTCCTTGCAGGGACACCAGAAACTGTCCTAGAAATGCCAATGCTGAAGGAGACTGAGGGGCACAGCCCAGCTGCAAAGGGCTTGGCTAACCTGAGGCTGCTCTTTACTTCCATGGAAACCACAAAGCTTATCCCCATAAATCCCCTATGACTAGATAGTAATCACAGGGTTTTGCAGCTTAATGGCTAATTGTGTTTAGTTTGTCCAAAGAGAAATTACAGTGCAACTAACTCTCACTCTGCTCTAATGGGTAGAAATCACCATATACCATTTACTCTGCAATTATCTGGTAATTAAGGGATGCAGGAAAACCTACCTCGCAAGGCTCAGAGCTTTGGCATCTCTGTGAATAACCACCCTGAGACCTGAAGTGGTGGGTGAACTTTTTGGTGGTCTCTGAGATGTGCCCAGACAGTTTGGTGAGTTATAGTGAATCTTGTAGTGGGGGAAACATCTTTTTCTTTTAAAGTGGGAGTTTGTCCTGCTATAAATCCCAGTGCAGTGGGAGATTCCTGAGCTCAGGAGGGTAAAGCCCTATGTGTGCTGTAGTCAGTGATAGTAGCAGGCATGAAATGTCTCTCCATCTCTTTCTGTCCTTTTATGAACCATCTCCTCCCCCATGAAAAGGCTTTTTTTGCCCCTTTGGTGGGGTGTTAGATGGAAGCTGCTGATGGAGTTGGGCAGTGGGATCTGATGGACAACTGGGTGAATCCTGTGTGAACTGGCTTTGGAGAAACCAAAATCTAGCTGAAGAAACCCCCTTCTCAGCACTGTGTCTGAGTTCTCCAGGTGGATACAACCTCCAGAGACCACCTTCCATCTCCTTCACCGAGGCCACTATGTGTGCCTGAACAGTCCCTGACAAAGTGTCTGTTTCAGTCTGCCCAACTCTCTCTGAAGATTTCTATGGCTTTTTCAAGACGTATTTACAGGAAACTAGATCCTCTTCACTGAAGCCTTTCTGGTTCTGAGCAGGGAGAGATAATTGCCCCCTGAGGCTTACAAACTCCTATCTAGTCCCTCCCCAAATGAGAATTGCTTGGGTTTTGGCAGCAATGTGGCACTGTTGATTCACAGTCTGTTGGTGATCCTCAGGAGTCCCCAGACCCTCTCCTGCAGCATGGGCAGTCAC